GGCACGCACACAGGAAGACTACACAGAGTAACACCTGTACAGTGTGGAAACAAGAACTAGCCGCTGCAACACTTTAGACAGAGGGCGAGTAACCCTAACAATTTTAAATTTTGAAATTTAGAGGGAAATTTTAAAGGATTTTAAAATTTGAACTAAAGATTTTATAGTGCTACTACAGGTACGTCAAAATTAACGTGTGTAAAATAATCTACAAAACAGACAGATATAAACGAAGTAGATGTTGATAATAACAAGGAAAGTTTCTAAATGTTAAATTTTGGGCTGGGTGCAGTGTGACAGCAACGTGAGTGTTATACACCTGATGATGGCCGTCTGGGGCCGAAACATGTAGTGTAAAAGAGAGCAAGTACAAAGACATATAATATATATTATTTGCACTTGGGACGGAGTTTGTATTATTTATAGGTTTGACTAATATGACATCTTCAGGCAAGAAAGTGTAACTCTCAAAATAGATGTTAAATGATGTAAAAAAATATAATTGACGAATATTAATGAGGCAGAGTCTTTCTTGAGAACTTCACAGTGGCTCAGTTGGTTAAGAAATTACCTGCATTTTATGTCAGCCGACAGTTTGTGACCATGTTCAAAATGGCCCACGTACTCAGTCAAATCCAATCCACAGCTTCACATACGATTTATCTAACATCAACTTCAATATTATTTGAGAAATAACTATTATTATTAATGCTTTCAAGCTGAATGTATGTATACACACTGTGTCCAGGTCCTGTTAGGACTGCGTTCATTAAAAATTCAAGACGTGAATTATTTTCAAAATTTCACTCTTGTTATTCAAAATAGTCTCCTTCTGAATTAATACATAGCTGGAATCGATTGAAAAGTTTTCGAAAACAGTCACTGTACTCCTTTTGTGGAATCGCATTTAAAACTGCGGTACATTCCCTTTGGATGTCCTGGTTGGTGTCGTGACGGTCTCCTTTCATCGGCAACTTAACTTCTGGGAACAACCAGAAATCTGCTGGAGCCAAATCTGGCGAATGCGGAGGATGATCAAGGACTGTGATCCCTTTTCTGGCCAAAAAATCGCGCACGATCTTCGATTTGTTGAGTGGGGCGTTGCCGTGGAGGAGCGACCAGGAACCTTGCTCTCGATATTCAGGTCGAATTCGAAGAATTCTCGTACACAAACGGCCGAGGGCTCCGAGATAATAACCAGAATTCACTGTTTGACCTTCTGGCAGATATTCCTTGTGAATGATTCCTTTGGAATAGAAGAAAACGGTTAGCAGTGTTTTTACTCGACCTTTTGCATGCGCACTTTCTTTGGTTTCGGCTTCTTTGGGCTCAACCACGCTGCACAATGCACTGCCGCTTTGTGAGAGGCTCATATTGAAAACACCATGTCTCGTCACTAGTAACAATCGATTTTGTAAATTTTGTATCACTTTGGGCTGACCGTAACATGTCTTTGCAATGTTCCACTCTGGCATGTTCTTCATCGCTTGACAGCACGTGCGGTACAAACCGCGCACAGACCTTCCGTTTTCCCAAATGCTTGGTCAAAATTTGATGCACAGTACTTTTTGTTATTCCCAAAAACTCCTCGATGAGTCTTGCAGAAACACGTCTGTCTGATGCAAAGATTTCGGTCACTTTTTTCACATATTCTTCACTGCGACTTGTTCTCGGCTTTGATGCACGTGGAGCGTCTTCAATGTCCTCCCCGCAGTCACGAAATACAGCATACCATCGAAAAATGTTCGAGCGACTCAAACAATCACTACCATACACAATTTTCATCATTTCGTACGCTTCTCCGGCTGTTTTGTCTAACCTCAAACAAAATTTGATGTTGGCTCTCTGTTCAACCGCCATTTTCCGACGAGCGTCAGAATAGTACTGTTACATTCAAGGTCAGAACACATGATGCAGCGATGCTTGCGCTTTGAAATTATAGACAGCCACAGCTGAAACTTCAAGAATCTTGACGCCACAACTCGCCAACAGATGGCATTGCAGGGCAAATTAAAAAAAAAAGTTCTAACGGATCCTGGACACACCGTGTATATATTGTTGACACAGGCAACGTATACGTATCTCCGTATAATGGTTTCCGTGATTGCACTAACTGAATTTCTTTTGTTTGTGCATCTGATTGTTTTGTTTGCTTTTGTTTATGGTGCTTACTTTATAACTGGCATTTAGACAGATGGGTAAACATGCAGTTAAATAAAAATAAAATTTTGTTATTGTTTTTGCTGTTGACAAAGCACTCGGATAAATGAAAGTAAACTGAAGTGAATTACAAATCACCAGCAGCACTTCTCCCACTAAGGTGACGCAGCTTGAGTACTGAGAACACGAGCAATTCCAGACACTCGTGTACTCACACCGCTCACACCCAAGGTCGGGTGAGAGGAATCACCACAGGTGGTTCCCCTCCTCACGTGCGAGCGTCCGAAAGTCCAGAACCACACTGCAGGAGGAAGTGTCTCATACCGTTGGATTTCAGATTCTTACCACAACTATGAAGAGCAGGCCTACTGTTTTCAGGGATTTCACGCCGTATAGTCCGATAGAGGTTTAACGTTTCGAAGGAAGGGATTCAGGGACGAAGAGTAAGACTAGGAAGCAACCAGCAAGACGTAGAGAGAACTATGAGTAAGGACAGGGTGTTCTTAGTTTCCCTGATACTGCCTGTTTTCATGTCCACCTGGTTTCACCTCCTATTCCCCCCCCTTAGTGGACCTATGACACCTTCTTACTTGCAACCAGCCTGTAGAGCCTAACTGATTCATCACCCCTACACACTTGGACCCTGCAGCGGGAGATTGCATGTTTCTTTTCGAAATGTTAGTGTGCACCCATAAGACTACACAAGACAATAATTTCAGAAAGTTACCGCTGTAAACGAGGAGCCGGGATAGCGCAGTCTGTATAGCGACTGGTTACGGGCTGGACGACCGAGTGATCGGAGTTCGAGTCCCGGTAAGTTCAAGTAAGTTCTCCACGTCGTACAGATCGGTACTGGGATCAACCCAGCCTCCTATCCAATGGGTACCGGGGGCTCTTTACCAGGAAATAAAGCAGCAGGGCCGTGACGCTGGACACTCACCTCCAGCTACTGTCAAAGTCAAGAAAACGTGGATCTATACATCAACTCCCCCCTTCGTCTTAATGGCGCAGTGCTTGATTAGTTAAGCACAGGTACAACTTCACCTTTTACCACTGTAAACTACGCGTTACTTTTCCATTAACATTAAATTTCTAAATTCCTTGCCAACTGGAAGCCAAGTCGTTTATTGCCCGTTGGGCGTCGAAGTAAAACAGCACGGAACGTGTGTTCTTTATTATCGCAATCTTACACCATGGGACTGTTTCGATGGGCCTAGATTCCGTTAACCAAGCTCTCACATGTTCGGTCGCTCGGTCCAAGGATGAAGCAACAGACCGACCCACTTATCCTGAACTCTGTTACTATACATGCTCTGTATAGGTACACTGTGCAGATCCATTGGAGAGGAGAATGTTTTTATAAGCTTTTGAAAGAAAGTGAAGGCGAGGCACGGCAGCATTACTTCTTCCACCGCGATCTTCATTTGTTTTTGTTGCACCAGTGCTTCGCGGACGGAAGTTGCAACAAGACTCATGCTGAGGATATCGCTTGTTGTCATGCTCTGTGCTCTGAGAAGCTGCCCTGTCAGTGTGGGAGGCATCAAGCATCGTGACAATAACAGTGAGTATAAATAAGTACCTCACACGCCACGTAACAGCAGAATATGCTTCTCACAATAACTGTTATGGGGTCGGTCGCAAAGTGTTTCTTAAGTGTGTACAGAGTTTAACAGCTTGCGTGTGTTTATACACTGCTTTAACATTTATTGAAGCTCTTGCTTAACTTGTTGATGATGTAGTTGTTGCTGTTAACAACTTTTATGATAACTACTATCACTCTCAAATTTGGAGACCTCTTTGAAAATGAGCGCATAATATTGAAATGGACCTTAAATAAGCGTAACGCGTAAGAGTGAACTGAATTCAATTATCTCAATAAGGGTTCCAGCTGGGTCATCTATGACTACTATTGTTACCCTTATCACCATCGTCATCATCATCATCAATATCATCGAATGTAACATTTTAATTTGTCTGTTTACTTGAAAGACTTAAGTGTAGATGGAAGGATGACAATAAAAATGGATCTTATTGACACAAGGTATACAACTGTGGTCTGGCTAAATTGGCTCGGCGTATGATCTGGTGGCTGACTTCTGGGATGACGATAGTTTGACTACTGGTTACACAAAAGGGGGAAATTTCTTGATCAGATGGACAATTATCAAATTTTCAAAAGAGATTATTCTTCTTAAAGTTGTTGCCATTGTCGTCATCGTTGCTGTTGTTATTATTGTTGTTGTGTTCCTCCTTTTGTGTGTATAACGACGAAGACAGAGCTATGCTATCCGTCTCTATAACGTGTTACCTCCTGTGCAATGAATCTTCCAGTAATAACTGGCTGGAAAAACTGAATGTAACTGCATATCCGCTATTGCTCCTGTCAGTGCGTGACTAACAACAGTATGTCGTGTTATGAACACTTCTGTTTTTCCTTCATACCGAAAATGTAGGTTCCTGGAATTTGTATTTAATTTCTTTCCCAACTTCCGAAATACTTGGATGAAGATATCAGTTATTTGACATTCTTTTGTCTTTCCTGTAAGAATAATTTGCATTTTTAAAGTCGTGTAATTATACATCTTATTTACGTCTGTGAACAATTTATACTTAACTGTCAAGGACTCTCTGGAACGTTCTATAGCACATTATCCTACTCTCTCAGTTACGTCACTGTAAAAACAGTAATTTCGTCCACCATTCATAATATCACTAAACCCCCTTTTAATCTTTATTATATTTGTTGTAGCGCGCACTACTTAACCTTTCAATATATATTTCTCACAGTTCATTGTGGTACATATTAACCAAATATGTGGAGCAGATCCCTTAACAAGATGATAGTCGCTCCGGGCCAAGAATTCTCAAACTTTAACCAGAAGGTACCCTGCATTGTTCACATCAGCCCACTTTTGGACACTATCTAAAAAAATCCGCCAAAGTCCGAGGTCCTGCATAACATCCCGTAGTTTCCGGTGAGAGGGTTGTAGTCGCCTGCGCAACTCTTGTCTGTTATCCGCGACTACTTCTTCTATAACATACTCGTAAACTTAACTACGCTCTATGTATGAAGGACGTTCCCATCTTCCGCAATCGAAGGACACACCGTACCATGGTGACAAAGGACCCGCGTAATATGGGAGGGGTATAAATACGTCTTCAGATTATTATTTTTAACTTTTCTTCCACTTACACTTGGGTACTGGAAATGGAATTGCAAGTGAGAGGTTAGAAGGCGGTGGGGATGATGGTACACAAACACGAATGTCAGAATACGAGTGTATTACATGGAGACTTGAACGAACGGTTAGAAAAACAAAACATGAGAGGGTAAAACCTGAATATCAGTTAAAGTTCTTAGGGGGCTGCTCGTCCCCTGTGATAACTGCTACCTCCGTTAAAATAATTTTAATCACTTAATGCTTAAATTTCCTTTTGGGTTTGTTTGGATACGTTAAATATTGATTTCAAATTATTTAGGTGTATTAAAACTAACAAACCTCTTTTGTAGACTAGGCTGGACACTGGCCTTAATTTTACAACACAAACTGTAATAACCTTCACTGAATTACTGTAGCGCAAGCTCTTGTAAAATGACGCTGTTACTTCTCTTGTGTGGGTATGAAACTTTTACGACAATGCGGGAAGGATATTACTTACATAGTTTGAAAATAAAGTATCTAGGAAACTATATGGCTCTGGGAGAGATTTAAGTAAATTTCTTATTCCATGAATTTGATCTGCCATTATTTCTTTGTTCAGTGTAATTATAACGTGATATTGAAACTTTAAAACGTTTTAAATTTCGTCAAACTTTTTAATGGTTTACTAGCATCACTGTGATTTTCAATGCATTTTGGTGACGAAACATGAACATTCAAGTTACTTAGTTAACTTTATCGTTTTATTTCTAGACCAACCTCTTTACTATCGTGTATTAGAGATACGTAGGTAGCATACTCAGATAAGAGAGCAATTTGTGTTGTCTGTCACATTACTTACTTATTCATGGAGCTGAACACTTCTTGAGGAGCCGCCAATTCTGCAGTCACTCAAGAATTTCCCACCATATTATGGAACCCGAAGGATCATTACCGTGTTCACAAGAGCCCTCTACTGGTCCATATCATGAGCCAGATCAATCCACTCCATCCCATCATATCTCTCTAAGATCCATTTTAATATTGTCCACCTACCTAAGCTTTGGTCTTCACAGTGGTCTCTTTTCTTCTGGTTTTCCCACCAATGCACTCATTCCCCTTCGTGCTACATGCTCTGCCCACCTCATCCTCCTTGACTTGATCATTAAAATTATACTTGGAGAAGAGTACAAGTTATGAAGCTCCTCATTATGCAGTTTTCTCCAACCTCCTGTCACTTCATCTTCTTACCGTCCCCCCTCGTGTAACCTCTAGCCACACCGGTTGCTGTTACTCTTTACCTTCCTTCCTTTCTCTTGTTGTTCTCACCACTGCCGTCGTTGGTCGCGGAGCTTGCAGCTAGGTCGGCTTTAGCTGGCTCCACCGCTTCTCCAACTCCACCACTTCTCTTCACTATGGAAAGGGTATCCGGTCCGGGACTTGGACTGGATGGTTATGGGCGCCAGCAACTGTGGGTACAGCTGCGAAGTGAAGGGAAAAGGTGGACGGGGTGGGAGCTGATGATGATCGGGCTAGCAGTGGTTGGCGTGAGACTCTGGCTCAGGTCGTTTAGGGCCTTACTCCGACGAGGAGGAAAGAACACACGGGACACACAAACACTTGGCACCACTTAACTTTATTGACTTTTTTTAATCTGCGCGCCTCTGAGATACATTTCAGTGCGTTACTCTACTGTAATTCCACCCGTTGCTCGAACACTAATTTTACTTAACATACGAGTGAGACAGACAGACGCGTCCGGTCAGTTTAACCGTTCTTACGAGACTCCCCACAGGAACTCACTCTCCGTTTTTGAATATTCAGAGGTCCTGCCAAAATTTGAAGAAGGCCTCATTGTCATCTTCCAAATCTCCGGGTTGGCTGAATTTAGAAGGGGGAGGGGTTCGATAGATTTCTCATTCCTCCACTGGTCAGCTGTTTCGCGGCGAGAGTTGGGGTTCACACGCTCTCACCGTCTTTCTGACCCGGGGTGGATTGAGAGGGTTCAATCTAACGGTCTCCTAAGAGTAGGTCCGTGATGAATCAGGTGTTGGAAATTGGTCCCGTTCCTCTACTAATGAAATAATTCGCCGCTCCTTTCTAAAGGCAGGTTTTAACCTTTGGAGAGTTATGACCGTTAGAGGGCCACCTCTCTCTAGTGACAAAAGTTCTTTTCAATGTCTTTTGGACATATTTATCTTATTAGTACATATGGCGCTTTCTAAAAGTAGAGAGAGTGTCGGGCTGGTTTGGGTTTAGTCCGGGGATTGCGACCCGTCATAAACTTTACCATCCCGGAACTGCGAAAGGGTTCAGGTCCCGTTGGTTGGAGTGGGGTGTGAGGCATTGCCTCTGCTTTGATGTAGCGACAAGTACCGACACACGTGAACAAAACATTGTAGTCCTTTGCATTGTGCGGTTACAATCTCTCTTCGGCCCAAATACTCTCCTCAACACCCTGTTCTCAAACACCCTCAGTCTATGTTCCATCGTAGCATTACCGTTGTCAATATTTACGGTTGCAGAAGTTTTAAATAATCTTTTGGCATTAATCTCAGCATTATTCATAAGAGTGCAAAATCTCTTTGTCCTCCTGCTGCGTCTATGTTTATATCGAGAAACAGGGAGGAACAATATGGTAATTTCGTGACTACAGGAACAATGCTGACCGCACCTGGGAAGGTCTCTCTCTTTTAAATGAAGTTATGAATTATTTACTGATGACAATCTCCATGTCTAACGTCGTCCACGTTGCTCAACTCACAGAAAGCGCAAGAGTTACTTCCTTGACAAGGATTCAAAAAGACGAAGCGCTGCAACCGTAAGCCCTCAGACGCTGAGATTGTTTCTGCAAACTGTGACACGCATTTCCCTTATTTGCTTATCTCTTTCAGCCTTACTTTCTTCTTATTTTGTCTTTATTTAATGTTCCTTGTTCATTTCTTCTTGTTCCTTTAATCTTTCTTTGTTTTATTTATTTTCCTTTTCTATTTTCATCTTCTTTTGCTTCTTTCGTGTTTCTTCGTTTCTTATATCTGTTTTTCACCCGACCACTGTCGTCATAGGTTGGAAGATCCGGTAAACGGAGATTTGCTCTAGCTTAAAACATAATCAAGGATTTATACAGGTCTAAGAATAAAACTTTAGGTTGCGAGGTCCGACAATAAAGTTTGACTGTATGTTACGCTCGCCTACACGTTTGGCGTCACTTTTATATTCTGTAACCGCTCAGTGAGACTTCTAGCCGCACAAGTTGGTCGGCACTTATAACTCGCCACTTATAACCACCCTCTTAGTGCCCTTACGTTGGACTCCTCTTTCATCAGCCCGTTTCTCGTTGCTGTCTGGTTCAGGATAGTGTGTGGGATTACTCTGAATTTGAATTTGTATGGGCGCCAGTGGACTTTACTGAAATCCACGAATTTGGAACGGGGAAAACAAAGGTGGGGATATGGATAGGCGGGCGTTTGGGATTCCGACTGCTCAGACGGTAGGACGAGATCCTGCCTCAGGGCGACTTCTGGGCCTTGCTCACACAAGGAGAGAGAGAACACTTAAAACTCACACTTCACCAGCACTGTTGCTCTTTATTATAGACGTGAACTAGAATTACACCTTACAGGGCCGTAGCACTTTGAATTTGTGTACCGGACTCGGCCAACACCGATTTAACGTCCGGGAGGTTACTCGTGTTACTCACTAAGGCGGCTGACTCCAGTTACTCCCTTTTTGCTACTCACTCCTGTTATCCCCCTTTTGCGACTGACTCCTGTTACTCCCTTTAGACAACTGACTCCTGTTACTCCCATCTGATGACTGACTGCTCTGGAGAGGCAGAAGTCCTGACGGTTCCGGGAACGCCCGGTTTTCTCTCCTCTGAAATTTTGCTGATTGGCTGCACCTAAAATTTGGGTATTACTCTCATTGACATTCCGCCAATCCCTAACAAGATCCATGTTAATTTGGGCCTAAGTACAAGACGATCCTTCTGACAGCTCTCAAATAAATGAAGGTACGCTAACGATCGCTCGGTACGCCCCTCCGAAAATTATTGCGACTCGTATCTGTCAAGTCTCCAATTTTCAAAGACTCGCACCGTCGAAGTTAAGCATTGAAATTCCCAGAAAACACAGCGGGATACTTCCTGCTCCGTTCTGGGGGTTTCATGTGACCTGCAGCTTGCTTGTCCCTCAGAAAGACCAGACGTCGTCCTTGGCGTCTGCTGGTGCTGGGGTCAATTCTGTATCATCTTGTGTTAACAGTAATACAGTTCGTTTACATGTAGTACATTGTAGTTTAGAATGTAAATCAACAACATTGCTGAGGTTCCTGCATGGTGAGGTTACAAAAGTTCACGAACGGTGTGCTTGCCGTGGCAGCAGTGGACAGAAACCTCAGTATGGTTTGGTGACGTTGGCATATCATTGTTTCACAGCTGTGTTGTTGATGATCTATGGCAGTCTCTTTCTTAGTGGCGTCTATTATTGTCTGAGTGTGTTTTGGTGTGCCGTCGCGAGAGTGTCCGAGCTTGAATTAGAGCACCGACTGTGAGGGAGTTTTTAGCTAGTAAATAAGTAACTGTGCTGGAACACCCTCCCTATTCACCAGATCTCGCCCCCAATGGCTCTTTTTCTGTTCCCGAAGATAAAGCAAATATTGAAAGAAGGCATTTTGATGACACTGATGACATCAGGAGTAATACGACGACAGCTCTGAAGGCCATTCCACAAAACCAGTTCCAAAATCGTTTTGAACTGTGGACTAGGAGCTGATATCGGTGCACAGCTTCCAAAGGGGAGTACTTTGAAGGCGACCAAAAAATTTAGAAATAAGGCTGCACAGTTTTCGAAAACATACCGCCATATAAATCTTGAAGAGCTAAACTGAACAAAGTTCCTGTTGAAGAAAGTCGTCTTCTGGGTTTAGGCGCCGTGTATTCTTCGTTTTGGCCGACGTTTCGGAGGAACGTATCGCCTCCATCTTCAGAGCAGTTGAATGGCTTGGAATGCAGAGAGCAGTAGCTGTCGGCCAAAACGAAGAATACACGGCGCCTAAACCCAGAAGACGACTTTCTTCATAGTCATCGCCGTGAAAACCACAAAACTTACAAAGTTCATGTTGTTTGAGTCCCGCCTTGATAGTATAACGTGAGCTAGCGGTGCTGATATATAAAGGAATTTTCGGCAAATATGGACATTGTAATACGACGCAAGCATACTGCGTACTACATGTTCTACTCATATTCGTAACTAGGTCATAACGTACATAACGACAGAATAACAAGCAGTCACATTGATATATAAGGATTTTGAATTTCAGACACTCTTCAAAGTATTGGTTGTTACATCCGTCTGGAAGCACCAGAAGGGTTCTTGGACTCTCCCAACTACCCTGGCAGTTATCCTCCAGGATTTGACTGTTGTTATGACATTGCGAGGTCCTCATCCAGTCACTGCGGAGTGAAATTCTACGGTGTGTACAATAATTGCATATTTGTGATTTATACTTCTGCCATGACATCAACCCGCCTGCCTAAGTTGAAGGTGTAGATTGGAGAAAACAATTTTAAATATTTTCTGATTAATTTCATGGAATACAATATCAGGAATTAAATTTCAACACATTATAAACTACTTATACAGCACAACATATTCTGATTGCAACCAGGCGTTCATACATGCTACAGTCATACAATTTTTAAACTCTGTTGTCTGTTGAAATGAACTAAGTTCACCATCAACTAATAACTAATAACTAATAACTGAAGTTTAAGAAGTTGGTTTTTGTTTTATTGAACAGTTTAGGTGAATGGTAGAGAGTTTGAACGTACTGGGAAGCGTTCTATTTGGTATTAATCTTGGTCTATGAGATACATTCAGAATTACTTTAATCTTTCCAGATAAATTACAGAACAATATCTTATAATAAGAGTGAAGAATTGTGCTCCATAACTGAGCATAAAACACTTCTAGCTTCATACTTTAATGCCGTCTATCCAAAATACACGAGCTACATGAATCTTTTCTAATAATCATATAACTTACGTAACAGAGAGCATCCGTTAAAGCAACTCGCATTATCGATTGAACGCAACATGGCAGAACATCAATCAAATTATAAATTTCCGGAATAACATTAGATTTATTTATTTATTTTGGATTAATTACTTACTTACTATTAATTAACTCCATTTGTAGCTCGTCATACATCCAACCTGGCTTCCGATATTCTCCTCTCCACCTCTGTAGCGACATCACTTTTGAGGAACATATTTTAACCTGTACATAACCTCAAAAAGTCAAATCTAATGCACAGAGATTGTGTAAACGATCAAACCAATAAAACGATCGTCCTATACCAATCAACTAATTCGGAAATTCTACATTCGGTGGTTATCACATAACGTTACCGAAAATTGGAATGTAATATTTCACAGGGAAATAACATTATCACGTCCTTGAAGATGTAGAAAAGCCTGTTTTTAGCATATCCAAATACCCATCACCCTCTATTGCTTTTCTCACAGAAGAAAGTGGACCTATGATCTCTGTGCTCACGAGCCTCACAGTGCTCACCGCGCTCTGACCTTAGGAATTTTCTCTTAATGCTCGAGGTGTTGGTTTAGAACAGCGGCTCCCAGACTCCTTTAGTCTGAGGTTCCCTTAAAGTGGATAAAATCATTTAAGGGCTCCCGAACCAAAGAAATCAAATAAAATATTGTTTAGAAATTATTTCCTTTCGATATACTGTAACGTCTAATTAAATCGACATGATTTTATAGATCTATATTTTATCTAGGATAAAATCCATCATTTAGTTATGGGTCCAATTTTGATGGATCCGGAAGATTCTTCAAGGTCCATGCGAAGGAGGGGCTCACACTTTGGGAAAGGCCGGTTTATAGGACTAGAAATCTGCTATAAAAATGAATTGTTATTCGTACATCTCAATTTATTTTGTTGTTCTATCTTATACAATTAACTAACTAATTAATTTCATGGAGAGGAGTCCTTCTTGAGAAACTAACAGTCGCTCAGCTGTGCAAGAAATTTCCCATCTCTCATAGAGCCTGAATGTTCATTACCGCTTTCTCAAGAGCCCACGTCTCCTCCATATACTGAGCCAAATTAATCCAATCCACATCTGTTTCAATATCATTGCCCCACCTATGCCATTGTTTTCGGTTTTTCGCATACAATATATATGTACTTTTTGGAAACCGAATATCTACATTTTCTCTTTGGCCACGACATTTAAATTAGAATAACGCGTATGATTTTTGTTCTGAATTCAAGTTCTAAATGCAATAAGCTAATAGACATATTTTCTATCACAGCGGAACAGCTGACTATTGTACAGACATATGAAGATGGCGGTTTCTGTCAAACGGATTGGTTAGCTGTAGATTCATGTGTCCCTGAAGGGGGAAGCAGATTCTGTGGGAATCTCACCGGTTCGACATGTGAGTATGCATGTTTCAAGATAAAGTACAGTACAGTTTCTCTTGTTAATATTCTTGCTGGATCTGAAATATCACCTATTATATGAAATTGTTACGACATGGCTTACGTGATCACGCTTAAAGAGTACTAGAGGAAACTTTCTTCGCTCTCCTGTCTTTTCTTTAAAACAAGCTGCAACTGTAGAGTGGAACTGCTTATGCTTAACGACAATTTCGTGAATACACGTACATATTCCCACACTCCATCGCCTATTTTGCTTACTACAATGGCTCTGCACAATGGACGTTTTCAAAGACTGGCAAGCAATGAACGGTGGTGGACATAAATCTGTTATGCAGTACAAATAAACGACGGCCTTTGTGGTCTAGTGGTCAGAGTGGCTACAGATTCACAGATCCCGGGTTCGATTCCCGGCGCTACCAAATTTTCTGAGAAGTAGTGTGTCTGGAACGGGGTCCACTCAGCCTCGTGAGGATAATTGAGGAGATATTTCAAGGAAATAGCTGTTCCGGTCTAGAAAACCGAGATTAACGGCCGTGGGGATCTTGCGCTGACCACGCGACATCCTATATCCACAAACGTTGGCGCTAACTTCGCCGACAAGCGGCGGTCGCTCGGTCGGTATAGTTAGAAATTAGAAATATTCAATTTTTTAAATTTCCGAAAATATAGTAACTATGTGTGATTTTAAAAATTTAAAAATACCTATATATATAAAAACCTGGTGGCCTAAACATTAACACACAAATCCATTACCCAAAGAGTCATGACATGTAGTTATATCTATGTTTAAGGTTTTCTTTTTTGTTTAGTCTTGTGCAACGAACTATTAGGTGGCCTAGACGTTAGCATATAAGTCTAGTATCCAAAAATTACAGGTTCAATTCCAACTGTTACCCCTAATTTCAAAAACAAGAATGATGAATTTGTCCACAGAATGAAGAACTAGTCACCAAAATATGGTAGCAGAGCCGCATCCTAGACACTGTTTATCTCAGTTACTTCTATTGTTGCTCATCTTGAGTTAATCCTGTGATTGTTGCAGTTCAGTACTTGTTTCAACCAGGTTCCAGAGCACTACGCCTCATATTTCACAGTTCACTGCATAATCCAGACGACTGGCCTGATTCAGATATTAAGTACCGATATCGGTTAAGATATCGAATCCTGGATGACTGTGGAGGTCTCTTCCAGGAACCTATTGTTTCTGACATTCCTGGAGCAGCGGGCATGACCTGTTACACGCGGATTCCTGACAAGCGTGGGTCAGTCAACACTCCCTTCTATCCTGAATACTATCCTCCCAACCTGGACTGTGTCTATGAATTTATCAGGCAAGTGTTAACTGACATGAACTTCAAGAATGATTCTTAAATACTAATAACAAGCTTTTGTACTAAGAAGTTCAGAATACTGGACAAGTGTACATAAAATACAGATAATTTTTGCAGACCCTACTGAGTATATTCATTACAAGATTTTGAAACATGAAATTACACGACGTGGAATATTAAATGAATCTCAGAACCATGAGAATCATCAGGGGTGACTGAAGTAGTCATCACATATAAGTCAACAAGATTCATCAAATGAGGAGTAATTAGAAATATATCATCCAGTGATTATTACACTATAAATGATGTTCTAACGCTAAAATACTAACATTTTTATCTAACAGTATAGGTGATGTTGCATTACCAATAATCACTGCTCATAAATAAAAATATATAACAAGAAATGATACCAAAACTGTCCTAGATTTACAATAATAATTTTGTCAATATTTTTTATTTATTCTTGGCAAATAACTACCACCCAGCCCACTTCTTTTGGCTTATCAGAATAGCTGTAAAACCCTGGAAATTAATAATAGTGTTGTTATTCTGGAAAATACACGTATAATACCAGTAACAGAAACTCAGTGAAACATTTAAATACAGTACCTTTTAAAGCTGTACCTTAAAATTGCATCCCTCAAGCTAAAAAAGCTGAATGAAATAAAAATGATTGTAGGTGTATTATGTTAAAAATATAAATCCACTCTATTAGACACTGAAATGCAGTCTGCTGTTATGTAGTTACTCCAGTTCATAATGACTTTAGTTATTTGGAAATATTTCATCATCTTGTGGTCTATTTTGTCATGAATGATAATAGGACATATGATGAAACGTTAGCATGGCAAATAACTAACAGTTGTTGCTTGTTATATCTTCCGTTGCAGACCAAATCCTTTCATCTGTGGAATCAGAATGCGTTCCATGGAGTTCGAGCTGGAGCCATCGACATCAACGCCATTCGGACGTGCCTGTGCAGACTACCTACAAGCACCAGGCTGTGGCTTTCTGTGTGGTTCCATAAATTTTTCTTGTGAGTTCATTAATTCATCTACAGCCATAATAAAAATGCAGTGGTAAATGTATAAATGGCCTAAATATTTCATATAATGAAAAACTAGTTTTATTACTCTTACAAATTAAATTGCTGATTCAAATAATGAGTCTGTTTTTCATGCAGCATGTATGTATGGGTATGTTCAGTTTTACTGTTAATAGAAATATACAGATGGGGTAGAATAGAATAAAATGGAACACATAACTTCTGGTGCATACTGTTGATTTTGCACTATATGCTACTAAGGCTGGTCCAGGAGTAAATTCACAGAAAACTAAGTAAGCTTATATGTTCAGATACCATTGCCAGAGTGTGGCACAAAATCACCATATAAATACAAACTCTAAAGCCTAAGAATATGTGACAAAGTTCAAATATTTGAAGTGGCAGTAACAAATCAAAATTTCATTAACGAAGAAATTAAAACTAGATTAAATTCAAGAAATGCTTGCCACAACTCACTTCTAAATCATGTGCCCCCTTCTCCATTATCTAAACACATATAGATTAAAATATACAGAACTGTAATTTGACCTGCTGTTTTGTATGGGTATCAAATGTGGTCTCTCACATTAAGGGAGGAACATAGAATAAAGGTGTCTGAGAACAGCGTGCTGAGAAGAATATTCAGAATTTGCACACAATCAAATACCATTAGGATTATAAAACCAAGGAACATGAATTGAGAGGGCTTGTAGCATGCATGGGAGATCTGCAAAATGCATAAAGGGCGTCACTCAAAAACCTGAAGTGATGAGGCCACTTGGGGGACTTTGGCATACATGGGAATTTATATTACATTATTATTACCCTCTTTCTACACTCTTTTTATAGCTCATAATTTGACATGTTTTAGCCACAGTTTCTTTTATAAGACCCTATGCAGATTTTCTCCTACTGTTATGTATATAATTGATTTCAGCATCAGGAACAGGACAATATAGTTAATTTCATGTTACCCTACATTGATGACTAACTCTGTGGGATAAGATATTTGAATTTTATTTCAATTGAAAATTTTAAGTGACTCTACAAAAAGAAAAAGGAATGCATTCTTTGCACTTATGTTACCTACAGTTTCTGGCCCTCTCTATATATACTGGACTACAGAAAACACCATAGTATTGCTAGGTTGTAATCTAGAAAAAGTAATACTGCAGGGTTTAATGCATAAAACATAATAGAGCAGGTGGTCAAATTACAGAAGATCAGCTGTGAATATACTGTATTACTTTTAATATATGATGCACATTTTAACATCTCTTCTTGTTGAAGAACTCAGGTGTGTCTAAAATTCGAGGAGTGTGCACCTTTTTAATTTTTTCCCTTAAACCAACATTAAAAAACTCGATGATTCTGAAATTTGAGGGCATCTTATATTTGAAGCAATATGGAATTAATATACTTCTATGACTCCTAAAAATATGATCGGTTTAAACAAATGTTTGACTTCAGAGGTTGGGATCATCTTGGGTCCTGCTTGGTTCTTCACCTTATTTTTTTGTGTTTAGGGACATCTGTGTACCAACCAGGTGCCACAAGTCAGAGATTTCACTTTCATTCTGATGAGGCCAACAGTCATCAAGGATTTCTTATTGCATTTGAACAAGTTTACCACTGCTGATATAGAAGAATGAAACCAAATAGTATCCATTTGTACTAATAAAGATATAATTAGTTGAGGGCAAGTTAGACTAGCAGCACCCATCAATATTCATTCATACTACCAAGCAAATATGTGTGTAGTTCAGTTGTCCTATCCTTTGATATGTGGGGCTCTGTGAACCTTTCTTTGCCAATTATCAAGTTGCATTATGGGCAAATGTCCCACTCATCCTGTAACCATTCAAATATTAACCATAGTTCTTTCTGAATATGATATTAATACTGAATAAATGTACGTTCATAATTACAATTATGAAAAGTATGGAAAATCACTCAACTGCTAAAAATCAGCTTTCCAGTTCATTATTGGAATATATATGAAATATTTCCTTTCTTATGCAGACAAATGAAACCAATGCAGATAGGTAATACCTGAAAATCACAATACTGAACAGTATTATACAGTACATAAGCAAGAAGTTCAAAAGCAAACAAATTTTATAAAGAACTTAAAAACCAAAGACATGCACTACCATTGACAAGTGGACAATGCTTAAAAAATTGTTGACATGTCTATGGCCTGTCGCCATAAAACAAAATGTCATGGGCTGCTTCCAATAGTTCATTACTTACTGCAGTCAAACCAGAAGGTAATCATTGATTTTGAACAACTTTTACATTATTATTTTTCATTCTACAAAAAATGTCATTAATGGAAGTTCCAAATTTTTCAAGGACAAAAGAAATATGAAATTCGAGAATCCTATACTATTTGAATTTAACTCTAGGTGGCATACCCCACACGATATAGCCGAGACCTAATTTTCCAGCATACATCTTTGTTGCTGAGGATTAACGTATTTGACTTCAGCTTCTTTTGCTACAGATGGAAGAAGTTTGCTACAGAGAAAAATTGTCATCTCTGTAAAGGAAGATACATTTATTTTTAAAAGGGGTTCTGCAATAATGTTTTTATTACTATGAATGTGCCAGATGTCTTGTAAAATACAGCTTAAAAGACAAAATTGCTTTTTATGGATATTCAGATATTTAAATATTATATTCTGAACCAAAATGTTTCATATGAATATAAATATTCATACACATTTGAGTGATAAAGAAAGAGAAACTTTATAAAGTGAAATCTAGCAGTTTGTGTATTGGGCTTTCATAGTTCTTGCTACACAAGAATACACAGTTATAGATATTTTCATGGTGAAAAGTTTGAAATGAATAGTGTTGCCATTTTATTATTATTATTTCAAAATTGCATTCATTAAATAGATAAGTTACATAGAGATATGTTATAACTGGTTGCTATAAGAATTTGACATTTATATTAGCCTACTTTCCTAAAGTTGGCTTATGCAATCTCCATGCTGTCTGTGTATTTGCGAATCCCTCCCACATTAATTTTTGAATGCCTAAACCAATCTTTATGAAACTTGGTATATATATCATGGCATCTGAGTTTATCTCAATGGCATACTTCATTAATCCCTCCCATCAGTCTGTGAGTATGTATGTGTACCCCTTCTATCATTGCTAGACAGGGCTCAGTAAAGTGTATCCCTCTTTTCGTCGTGAGGCAATGGTTTGGTAAACACGTTAGTACAGCAACAAATACATGCAACAATAGAAGAACTGTTGGACGCATATGTCTGAGGGTCTGTACATCCCTTTATTGTTGTTAGGTAACAGCTCCATAAAGATGTTCCCGCGGCAAAGAAGAATTGTTGGAGGCATCATTTTCGATGAAGTTCATATTGAACGAAAAGAAAATAGGCTTCTTCCCGGAACTTCTTGTTAAATAATGACGTTGCTATCATCTTGCCACTTTTACCATATTCTAATTAGGTCAGTCTGCCTGCATGAGTAATAACATCATATGGCTAGATTAGGATGAATATTAATTATATAATGCAGCTTTCTATTCATTTTCTCAAATTTAAAACATCTCTGATGTCTTCAATTCTTCTGGTTGGCAATGAATGGAAGAACATGGAATGGAAGTCCCTATTTACATATGTCTTCCCGGATTCCTGAAGTGTTATTGCGCAGAATAAATTTCTGCATCTGCCACAGCTCTAAACCATTCATTCTGTGCAACCCTTAGAATTTTTCAGGAACCTGAAAAAGAAATGCATAGATAGAGAAAAAAGTAAAAATAGTCAAAATAATTCAAATATACTTTAATTCTAACTTTATTGTTAAAAAAAGGCTGTCAACTGGAGGATAACTGTATGGACCTCATTTGAAAGATAATTCTATAAAGAACTTAATTCCTTTGAATAGGATGTCACGAACTGTTGAACCAATTGCTTGGTGCACTCTAATACGTACTGCAGTAGCTTCAGTGATGTGTTTTCAATCCTTCATTTAAAATGTTACTTGAGAATACAATAATTTATATTATTTTTGGAAACAGTAATTTATTCATCTAGAAGAAGAGAATAAGAACTCAAAATCTAGAAGAAATAACGTTTACAGTTCGCAACACTTGGTCTCATAGTGCAAGTGTTCAGCTAAATTTTTTCTAGTTATGTAAGAATTGTAGTAAAATTTACTGTTACACACGTCAATGAAATGTTCATATGAGATACATTCATAGGAACTAAATATTAGATTATTTTATGTGTGAATTATAGACCAATGGATTACTACCTATATATATAGACAACATTTTGTTGCTACAATCCAAAATATTTCTTCTTTATACTGGCATCACTGTCATCGAGCAATCTGTAAGAAAGAGATTATACTGTGTGCATTCTTGTGTGGGATCAGTGTGAAACCACATCACAAATATAGAGCAGACAGAAATGGTGGTTGAAACGGAAAACATCAGAAATTTCAATTACACTGTGGGCTTCCATAATGAAACTTTCTGGTAGTTTGTTTTACCTGATGGGGTAGAATATGATTCACAATATTCTATTACAAGACATGCTTCTCAGCTCCTGGTAACTTCACCATTGTAAGATCTTCGTGAACAAAGGTGCAGTCATCCTTCAACCCCAACATTATACCCACATTAATATAGTACAATGTTGCACTCCTGAATTTACAGTACTTTCAGTGTCCAAATTTCTCAGAATGCTTGTTTTCCTCACTGTTTGAAGTGAATGTTGAGACAGTACCTCTCAACTGCTTCCCCTTACTCTCTTCAAATTCAACATGCATAATCATCCCTTCATCTTATTTTATGCTACATAACATAATTATATGCAGTTCATATGATAACATTACATAACCTATGAATATATAATTCATTAATCATAATATCAAAACCAAGTATAACTTCAAAATATTATAATGTTCAGAATTACACCAAACATAGAAGTGACATGTTCCTCCAAAACTTCAGACTTTCTCTAGCAACATGGTATTACAACTAAGAAGAATGGACTCTTAAACTTAAATATTATAAAGCTGTCACAAATCTAAAGGAATATTAACTGCCTCATCCCTCTGCATGTGGTTTTTGTCTGACATGCTCTTCCTTGCATTTGTCCCCATGGGACAAGGCTTAAAATCTTACACATTTAGAACCGGTTAAATTACACTATACTTACTATATGTTCTATAATTATAAGTATTATATCAAGAAAATTACTATACACAGATATTTCACATTCTTCATTAACTACCCATAAATATAACATATACATACAGAAATTAGCCATATGTAAAGAAAATATACACATATATAAACATATGGTGCTGCATACAGAATTTACATTCAGACACATGATTATAGTTTGTAAAACATTTCTTAATAATACATACAAAATCATCATTACAGTTGGTGACGTTCAAGAGGAATTATTTCAGTACTTCTAATTGTTTACTCTTGGTAGATAAACTTTTAATTTTGATTTGGAAGGGGAGTTTGTTTTACAGTTTTATTCCAGCATAGCAGAATTCTTCAGCAGCTTCATATAAGTTATAGCAAATGAGTTTGTATATAGAGTTAAAGTTATGATGAAAGATAATTACCTGAATAAGAGTTACTGTTATCCTGCACAACTTCCATTAAGCTTTGTGTAACTACATTTTCTTCATAACATCTGGTTATACTGCCACAGGTCAAAAGCAGGTTGAAGGTTTGGAGTGAATATACTCTCTCTTCAGAAAGATGTTCCTGGTGATTTACAAAAATACTGACAAAATATTACAAAACTGCCTTTGAAAAATGACATGTTAATTTCCCTGGATTACTGTAACTCCCTGTGTATCAGTCCACTCAATATTAATTATTGTAAAATTCTGTATACTTAGATATTAACATAGAACAATTCTAGTCATTTTAAGCTATAAATTTTCATGAATATAATATTACTATAATATATAGGAATGGTATTTAAAAATAAGAGCTTCAATCATTATGAGGAGTTTCTTGAAATATCTTTTACACACTATGAAGCATACATATATAATATTACATTTGATTTAATGCATATAAAAACAGGGATATAATACCAGGTTTGGACATGTTTTCATTCCTAGATTTTGTTAACAAGATTACTTTACACAGAAACAAACCTGACCCAAATGGCAGACACTATTCTATAGCGTTACCACAACCTGAACTAAATATACAAACATGTGAACAGTACTGAAATTCTGACCAACCATGAGTGGATGGATGAACAAAAGGCTGAATCTTGATGTGTTATCTAAAACTTCATTCAGCAAATTATACAGTGAACAAGATATATGCAAAAATGTTGTACTTAAAACATGATAAAATTGCATTTATTAGACTGCTTCATCTATAACTTGGAATTCTGTAAAACTTGTTCTGCATAGCAGTCTTCAAACATATTTTCATTTAAGCACTGTATATTTTTCTCAAATTTGTTTTAGACTTTCATGTCTTATAATGTACAAATGTCTTCTTGATCCATCCACACCACATAAATTGGTAATTATAGTCAGTTACATGTAAAACACTTGTAAACTTTTAAAGATTACTCAGAAAGTTTTGAGACTTAGATGCACCACAAACATAAAAATTCCTTGCAATTTGCATACATTTTTAGAGCAGGATTTGTTCAAATGAAAAATATGTATCATGGACATTCATCATATGTCTTGTAATAAAAGCAATTACAACCCATGATATGGTTTTGTTATATTTCAATATCAAAGTCATGATTCACCACAGTTAGTCTGTTTGTAGTCTCAAAATATTTCTTTGATTAATTACCCTTCAATATACCAGGTATGGGGATTTAAAAAATTGGTCACATTGTAAAACATAAATGCGCCTTTAGTTAACATTAATGGTAAAACAGCAGCTTGACACAAATACTGACATCTTTATCCATATATTTCATTAATATGCTGTTCTGAGAAGTGTTATGCATGTGATCTGAAGCTTTCACAGTGGCTGAAATTAATTAAATCCTCTGAGGCTATCAGCTATGTCAGTTGGTTAAAAATGACCAATGTTTTAAGAGACCATCTTCATGACTCAACTCACTAGTGCACAAGTGGCTTATGCCCGGTTCTGATAATGGGTTATGGGCTGGTATGCATATGGAATGTCATATCAGATCCTTGTGATGGGGACAGTGATGGTCCCTGAAGCAGTCACTTTTTAATAACTGACATAACTGACAACATGAGAGGATTTCATTAGTTGCATGTATGGTTTCTCAATCCTGTCTTGTTCAAGAAATGTTCAAATACATCTTGCTCGTGACATTAAGGTTGAAGCTTTATTATGTTTCATAAGAATTAATTTAATTTAATTAAATCTTACACAAAGTTCAATTATACTTTCATCTGGAGAAAACTGAGAGTAGGCTCTGAAAAATATATTAAAAAAAAGTCTCCAAACCCTTCATTCAGTAGCATTCTATCCAAAACAGTTTCATTGTGGGGGCTGCCTTATTGTATTTCCTTCTCATAATATCTAACCCCATGAAGCAGAGTCCTCAGAACCTTACAGCAGCTCAGGTAATAAAAGAATTCCATGCCTTTTATGGAGCCTGAAGGTTTATTACTGTGTTCACATGAGCCAGCCATGGGTTCACTTCTCTTCCTTACTATGCTCATACAGTATTAATTTCTTCATTAAGCCTCTGCTGCAAGGATGTACAAAATTTTCACATGTGGCATACTGATAGTACACAGAAGATTGAGACCAATTTGATGTTTCTGAACCCATTTGCATAAATTTCAGTCATATTACTTTAATTAAATTGATTATAACTATACTCATTAAGGACAGTTTCAAACTATTTACCATTAATTTTTACAACACTATTTAACTACTTATGCCCATTATTTACACAATACTGTAGTAATAAGTCTGATTTCATTGCTAGTATCAGCAAATTATTGCATCAACTTGTATTGTTCTGCACTCTGATATCCATTGGAGATTTATTTATGAGCATGACTGCAGGTCTCAAGAGAGGAACAGTCAATGATGAAGGTCTCAGGATGAAATGCTGGTTTCCCTTCTCACAGCACAAGTCTATGTCTGTTCTGTGGGTAGCACTGGAACCAGATTTTGGGATGCTAGAACTCTTGTACGAGACAATTCAAGTACATGGAGTGGTGACCCTGCCTTATGTGAGCTCCATGTCACACTGGCCCAGTGGGTAATACTTGGCATACTTGATAAGGACCCTCCCCAGGATTACATGGCAGGTAGACATGACTTGTTAGCCATAATAGACAGTCTAAGGGTAAGAAAGCCTGAAGAAAAAACCCTGATTCTCCATGATTGCAAGACTGCAACAAGTTGGTAACCTGCTCAAGCAAAAAAGAATTATTCATAATCCTCAAAGGTTCAAATCCCAGAGCCTGTGGACAGAACAGATCAGCAAGCTGAATCATTGCAGATATTTCCCCACATGCCAGGAACATCAATTTTTTATTTTATTTAATAAGTTAAATTTATTTGACTTGAGGACATTTGCCTACAAACAGCAGGTTCAGTAATGTTATTTCATAAGAACTTGATAATATTGGTACTTACGAAACAGTACCAGTAGTTCAACATGAACTATTATATCTTACTTATAACCTGTGTTAAAGTTCCCAATTGCAGAAAATAATTAAAACATTTGTATTTCAGTAAGTCTGCAAATGGCAGAAAAAATTTTTAGGTACATTTCTTATTGAATTAGGTTCTCACTGCCATAAATATGAACTTCTTTTGGCTTGTTTTGGACTTCATCCATCGTCTGGTATGTAAAAGACAAAAGACTGCAACGTTTCAGAGACTGGATCTGTCTCCGTCTTCAGGTGGGTAGGGGAGGATAAACGTACTCAGTTGGGCCCAGTAGAAAGAGCTAGTCTCAATCACTGGACAAACCCCGGTAGTCCAAAACAAGCCAAAAGAAGTACACTATACACCATCGTCAGAATCCTTTCAAGTCTAACATAAATATGAAGGTCACTATCTTCCAGGATGGTATGTCATGTGGTGTGGTCGAAATGTACTGATGTTTTTGAGGAGCTTCTCAGCTCCACTTTCAGCATATAAGATTATTCATATCTTGAAGCTGAAGATAGCAGGTGCCTCTAAATTTTATTACTTTCTTATTAGATTGCATTTTGCCACTAACCAATTTTCGGATACAATTACTGATTTTTAAATACAACCAATTTCTATTAGCACAAAGAGAATGTAATGTACGAATAGTTGATCAACATCTAAATCACAGAAGAGAATAATTACATAGGTCTTTAAAACATACCTTGGCAAAAACCCAAGAGTAATAACAAAATAATGAAAAAAAACACCAACAAAAACAGGTTGCTTGGGCTGTGATGTTTTATGTTCCTATGACAAGGATCTGGATAATAAAATAACTTAAATATATTGCGGTAATATAAACAGATTAGGGAGAAAACAGGAGGTACGGCTTGAATTTTTTGTTCACAGGGGTCGTAATATTGACAAAAGGATGCATAAACTGTGTCTTGAAACAGTCCTGATGGTAAAATGGGGCTGAATGGCAATAAGGAAAAAAAAAATTCATGGGATCAAGTTAAGGAATATTTTGCAATGGTGTATTTAATAAAGTAATTTATACAAAACTACCAGGTTAATTTTTATGTTTTTACAGAAATATATTAATTGTTAAATATTTTAGAATGTGATTTGTTACTTTGAGAATAAACTTATTTTTTGGAGGAACTTATCTCTTTTAGTTCTGTCATGAAGATGAAGGCTGGAAGTTTCTTTGAAATGTCAGAAACTTCTTCCAAACCAAAACACTTGGCAACATGAAAGGATATGACACAGCCATACAATTCCTTGTGCTGGATAAAAAAGTTAAAGTTGTACATGTGCTTAACTAATTAAGCACTATGCCATGAAGATGTATGGAGGAGTGGAGATATAACTCCATCATCCTTGACCTCAGCACTATATGGAAGTGAATGGTCAACTTCATCCCGGGGAAATCGCCCCCAGTACCACTGGGTAGGAGGCTGGGTGAGATATAGGGCCAGATTTGAGTTTATTATTAAATACAGCATGGAAAGGTATATGTAACGGTACAATTAAAAAAGAAAAGAAAAAAATTTGTGTATTACTTTCAAGTTTCTGGTATAAAATACAGTCACCAGAAATAAGTCAAACATTGTGTGTGTGTGGGGGGGGGGAGAAAACAGACATTTCACATAGGAACTTCACAGGCTTAAATACTACATCCTGCATCATTGTGTAGAAGACACAGATCTGGAAAGGGTGGAGAAAGGAAAGAATGTATCCATTTAAAAATTTTGAATGATTCAAAATGCACTCAAGCAAAACAAATGAAAGTGTTATCTGAACAGTGGAAAATTATGTTAATTTTTTACTCCAAAATTATGTCATTTCAAATTATTTATCATCAACATTTCCTCCACTCACCAATATATTTTAGAACAGTCATGACCCATGGAGATTTTGTAAGGACAATGAATTAACATACAACAAAATAAAACTATGAAACTGTATTTGTTCAAAACACTGATATAATATAAAAACTCTGAATGAAACAACAGGCAGACAAGTGAATAAATGACACTCTAGAACAATGTTTTCATATTCAGATGCTGCCTAGCATACATATAATACTGTACTTAACTGCAAACAACATCACAAGAAAATACTGAACATATTAAGTTCAGATTTACAACCACTTAATTCATGTTGATTCAAAACATGTCAGACAAACCCATGAAATCATACAGGCCTTCAGTTGTGTCAGTGCGTGCTCTAATACTGCTAACATGTGATCAGACAACCCAACAGTTACTTTCATCTTAACATCCAGAGCCCTAAGAGTGGGTCAGAATAATGGTGGCAGTGAATAACGCACTGTGACTGAACAATAAATAAAAAATTAGCAAGTCATTACTGAATGAAATATAGAAGTATACTCTGCTATAGCCAATATCAATCTCACCTGACCTTCCAACACATTTTACATATTGCCTATACACACCCATTATTCCGCACACATTACTGAATTGCCCAAGGTAAAGTTTTGATCATACAACAGGTTACATTTAAGACAGAATTTATTTAAACAATTCAAATTAGAAGCTGAATACTTTTAGAACCTCTTTAAGTAATTTGGCCAGTGGCACAATGTGTAGCATTAAGCACACATCTCACTGACAACCCTATCACTATCCTTAACTATGCTACTTTTTTAAGACAAAAAAACTTGTTCAGCAGTTTTTAACAATTTAAAGCATCAAATTAAGTCTACCGCATTTACAACTGCTTCTTTCCTTATATTCAAGCACTCATATGGACATATACCTGGTAAATACCAAATACTGGTTCATAACAGGTATGAGCCTGGATGATAAACTTACATATATGAGGGTGAGTCAAATGAAAACCGTAAACATTTTTTAAAATTTAATTTATTGAATGAACGCGGTACACAACTATATCACTTTTCTACATAGTCTCCATTTCGTTCAATACAGGCCCTCCAGCGTTTACAAAGTGTATGGATTCCTCTAGAAACAAATTCTTGTGGTTGCCTCATGCACCGCCTGCTGTACCTCTTCATCAGAACGGAACTGCTTTCCTCCCATTGCCTCTTTGAGTGGCCCAAACATGTGGTAATCACTTGTGGCTAGGTCTGGTGAGTATGGTGGATGTGGAAGACACTCAAAGTGCAAGTCTTGGATTGTTGTAACTGTTGCACGGGCAGCAGGGGGCCAAGCAGTGTCATCTTGTAAAAGGACACCTCTAGTCAAAAGTCCATGTCGCTTTGATCTGACTGCAGGTTGAAGATGATTCTTCAAGAAATCTGAATATGAGGCACTGGTGATTCCCCTGAGGTGTGTAGTGCTCCAAGAGTAAGCCTCATTCATCTCAAAGGAGAGTCAGAATAATCTTCTCTGCAGATGGCTGCATCCAGAACTTCTTGGGTTTTGGTGATGAGGAACGGCACTGGTAACATGTCCTACAACTTATAGGACAATGGCACAATATTTTGAATTTTTGTCTCAGTTTTACGGTTTTCATTTGACTCACCTGTGTATGTGTTTTATAACAGACTGTTGTTATATTGCGAGGGAAGTCAGTTTCTGTGCATGAGGTTTCAATGTTATAGTTGAATCATCATGATTTCTTAAATTATTATTATTATCATAAAATTGAGAGTGAAACACATTCTTTGGTTACTAGAGTAATTAACTCAACTACATTCACTACATGAAGTGACACAATTGTTTAATTCACAAAAACAAAAAGGATATACTTTGACCAAACATGAGAAGGAAGATTAAGTGATTACTCAGTATAAAAGGGCATCTGTGTTTGAAACACATTTCAAGAATGTTTGGGATCAAGAACTTGGTGTTTACAAATCCCTGAGAGGGGGATATTTGTAATCAACTGTTAGATGGGTTAATCCGAGCTGTAAACTGAATGAAAGTACTTTATTGTAATGGCCAGTAGCATTTTCACTTTTACTTATCTTAAACAGCAATGCACTGTATGAAATATTTAAATACATTCAGCAAACCTGAGTCTTAAAAGACATAAAATGTATATATTATTAAAGGAACATAAACCATATCTTACAAACTTCTTTACAGTAAACAATACTACTTTACAAATCACAGAACCCTGTAACATACAGAATAATGTATTTATGCATCCTGTTAACCTTAAGAACTCCCAATAAGAGAAAAAACCATGGAATATAACAAGATACATGACAGGGTAATTATATAGGCTGCTGAAGAATTCTTAAGTAAATCTGAAAATGAAAGTGGTTATGTTTTTTCTTCCTCAAATTTAACTGTTTCACCATTTCATAGCTCAAGTAAAATAAGTACTATTATTCATACAGACTCTTCCGCATACATTAATGTTGTTTTCATCCACTTTAATCAGCACTCTATAAACAATAAACACAATTCTTCCTTCTAAAATGGTGGTGCTATCCTCTCCAGCAAAGAAACCAATTCACTGTATGGTTTCAGAGATCCTAAATTACCTGACAAAAGAATGTTCATTGTAACAACTTTTCACAATCTTTTTAAGTGCACTTCATAAGAAGATAATATTTAAATGTTTGAAGAATTGTATGTGACGTGACAAATAACTTCATGCTGTTTTGGATCTAGCGAATTTATTCCACATTCGCTCTTAGACATACACAATTTACAATTTCCCAACTACTGCCATCTGCAGTATCACAATTACTTCTCCTGCTGTAGTCACTTCCATGCACTCGATACAATTCAACTCGTAACTGCTGGAGTTCAATTCATACTGGATACTCAATCCTCCATACTAGTAACTCAGTACTCACTACTCCTGAATAGTACTCGCTGCTCCTTATTTAGGCTCAGCATGGACAACATAGAGAAACCATCGCTGCTCGGCAACAGATATCAGGTATTGTTGTCAGGTGTTTCCACCTACGCATTGCCTAGCAATAGTCGCTGCATGGACTCGCCTGTTGCATGACGTCACAGCCTAGCAGGGAGGGGTTTTTACCGAGCGTTGTGTAATGATGGGAAGAGTGGGGGTACGTGACGTCACTCATGGAAACGCAGAGTTCATGTGACCCATACTTCCTGTTGTGCCATCCACGTTACACTATTTTATGGAATAATCAGTTAAACCTACTGACATAACAAATGTGACTGCCAGTGAAATCCAGAATTTAAAATTTCAAATGATATAAAATATTTCAAGCAAGCACTCCTTAGCAGAGATAAAACAATTTTCTTTTGTCATTATGTAAGCTGTCATTCTGTCTGCAGCAGTGTTGAGTAGATAATGCTGATGCTAGTTAAAAGGCAGTAAATTATGTTTACGACAACACACTATTAGGGCTTCACAAGTCTTGAACAATTGACATTTATATATTTAGCTGTTATACTGAACTTGCCGGAAGGGGGTGGGGGGTGTAATTAAGCAAAGACTGTAACTCGAATATGGCAATTATCTCAAAAAATTTCAATCAACCACTAGGCATTAATGTTGGTGGAATTAATACAATACTCTACAGATTATCCAATTTGCATGTTCAATTATTTCCTAACTAACATTATAAAACATAAGGACAAAGAAACTTGGATAAACAAAGTCAGTCTGAACAACCCAATTAAGATGACATGTAATTTCCTTGGCTTCTTGAATTAAAGCAGCAATGTTAACAATATAAATAGTTGTCATAATACTGTATATAATACTTAAGAAAATACATTTTACCAGCCTTCAAAATGCACATCTTATTATCACTAACAGATGTCTGAAATGCCAGAAGTTTTATTATGTTAACGTATATTCACATGCGTTATCCTGAACGACATTCGGACGGCATGACGACACTGTCAGGCCAAAAAACATTCATGCAAAATGTATAAGATTCCAGGAAATATGTTAATGTCAATGAATATGCAGTGAAATATAAATATTACAATAAGCACATAAAATCAATGACTAATCTCATCTGCATAACAGGGGTGAACAAATTTTGTTACCTAGCTTCATTAACCACTGGATATGCATGTATACTTTCATATGGTGAATTTTTCTTTCTCAACCTTCCTCTTTCCTTCTAACACAAATGCATCTAGAAATTAACATTTTCACATAGCTACAGTAATTTTAAAAATTACAGAATACAGGTAAGATTAGCCTTTTTATTAATGAGATTATTTTCCTACTTAGCTATAAAATTCACTAAACAAAATAAATAAAAGCATAAATACGTTTCAAAGAAATTTTAAACATTCAGAAAGAAATAATTTCTTTCAGTTTCTTTACCGCTTTTGATGTTCATATGCATCCTAAGAACTCGGTATATAATAAATATATATTTGCATTATAAATTAATATGTGAACTGCTGGAGTTCCCACAGAGTACAATAAGTTGTTATTNCTTTTCCTACTTAGCTATAAAAATTCACTAAACAAAATAAATAAAAGCATAAATACGTTAAACAGACTTTCCGTCCAGACCATGAGAAATTATATTATGAGTCTGGACTGAACTTCTGCAATAAGGTCAGCAGATTTGTGTAGCATCTTCTTTTCCTCATCAGTTAATGGCTGTTTCACAATGTGAGTAACACCATTCTCACTCAGAACACAAGGAAGTGAGAGAAAGACATCTTTATCAATGCCGTGTTGACCCTGCAATGTCAAAACAAATAAATCTTAGATCAGAAACAATGGATAACTTCTCAGTACAACTTCTTGTCTTAATTTAGATTAATACAATTGTCAATACAAAACTTCTGCCCCTTCCGCAACTGTGGATTGGATACAATCCTCCTCTGATTTCACAGCCATCTTTTGAATGATCCCTCCACATTCCTTCTGTCTGTAATAAAATGCAAGTTCTGGTGCCTGCCGATTCTTTTCAAGTGAATGATATCTGTAATCACCTATTCTTACATTCATTGAATGAAAACTTAGCCCCCTTCCAGGTAACTTCATTTTTAATTTTGTCTAATGTAGTACATCCATCAATCCTCCTTAAAAATTAAATTCCCACTTCTGAAATTTTAGCAATATTTTTCTTCTTAACCAAAATTAAATTTTCATATAGGTATGAGAACTGTCATCACTTTATAAAATTAAACCTTCTCTCTCTCTCTTACGCCTTCCTTTAAAGACTGCTTACTACCCACTTATTCCTTTGACGTATTTCATTATAAATACTGCAGGGACATAATAAACTTCACTCCCAAACACATTACATTATAGAATTTGCTCTATAATCAAATTTAAAAGTTGTTTTATTTAAAATAAAAAAACTTCATTTCATGTAATGATATTTTCATATTTAAAGTATACACTGAAGTTTCACAGGATAAAATGGACTTGCTGTACACCTTCCCATGACTTTCAAATCATGATCTGTATATTAGGCAGACTCACTAGACTTTATCTCGGGAAAAGAAAAAAAAAACAGATGACAAAGTCAATATCCAAGAAAAATGAGCATCAGCAGCAGGGTGAAGAGGAGAAATATATCTTTTTAAATTGTTGTGCCATATTTACTCCAATCCCCCTCGGTGGTGTCTCCACCTTATCGTGGTCAGGGGGTTTGAGCATGCCAAGGACCCTGAGAGCTATACCAGCAGTAATGTAGCTACTGGCAGAGCCTCCCTTGCTGGACAGGTCAAACGGTAGGCATCAAACGAAGACAGACACCAAAAACCAAAAACTGATGACGGAAGCAGCGTCATCGGCAGCGACTTGAAGCACAGACCAAATGATGCTCGAGATGGTTCAAGTTCGTATAGCAACAGGCGTGACCAGAGTGGTTTGAACGGCTGCTGTACTGCGATGTGGAAAGCAAATGGAAAAACTACCACATTATCACTTTTCCTGGATAGTCTCTTTCCAAAAACAGAGATACCATGTATGCAAGATATTTCCTCTGGAGACAAAACAAACCGGAGGTAAACTACTCCCCCAATTGGATGGGGACAGAAGAGGATATTCTTATTTGAAGGAGAAAGCTCTAGATCACATTAAGTGGAGGAACTGTTTTGGAAGAGACTGTGGACCTGTCATCTGACAGATTACTAATGATGATGAATTTACTCCAATATAATCATTTTTTCTCATTAAATGTTGCATGCATTTTGTACACATTAGTGGTGGATTACATTCTGCTGTATTTAGTATTGGAAATGATGTAATAGTCATGGCTTTAATTGGCAGTTGTGCAATTTAAACAGAATGCCAACATAGATTCCCACAAGCTCAGTTTTAGAGCATCTTTAGAGCAAGCAACTACAGTGAGATATTTCTGACAGAACCCACAAATCAGTAACTAGAAGCTGACTAAACTATGGTGTGTCTGCACAGTCTCGAAGCAGGCTGCTGACAAGTCAGTACTCAGATTTACATCCTCTTTTATTTCTGCATGAATGACCTATGGTATATGTTCCAGGATTAGAAAGTGAACTTATAAACGAGGGTAACTGCATTGTCTTACTACTGACTGTGTCATGTAAATACATTTCATATTCAAGTATCACTGATCAATAGCTGTTTACTTGTTGCAGAGTGTAAGGTTGTCGAGTTGGCAGCACTTCATCATCATTACAGTTCAATGGTTGAAGTCAATTCATTATCGGCGGAAGAAGACAATTTTGGGGGAGGAAGGGATTTTGCTTTTTTTAACTGAAAATTAATTTAGGTTTGAGCCTTTCATATAAAACCCATCTGGAGAAAGTAAAGCTACAGTTCTGGGATCAGTGATACAAAAATTGGAGCACTATAACAGAAAATTCTGCTTCATGTATTGTAGCATAATGAAGTATTTGAAGGTATTTATTTAGTTCTATACTTACAATTTTTTTATTTAAGAATATGAACATTCAATAGGAATAGGTACAGCCAATTAAAAACAGAAATGCAGCAAGGTAAGTTACCTTTCCTGAATGTACAGTATCAACTGCGTTTGAAACAAAGAATCTTTTTTTTTCAGCCATATTTGCATGTCACCACATATCTATCATAACTCACAAGGATAATCATATGATATACATAATTTTTCCCTACACATAGAATAAATGTAAAATGGTACTCACATTGACTAGTGTCGACACTGCATGGACATTAAAGCCATTGCGAAGTATTGACTGGGCCAGTGCCGCCACACTAAGTCCAATGGCCCATGAGGTGTAGCCTTTCAGCTTAATCACTTCATATGCACTGGAAGATGAATGAATTATTTTCATGTGTACTTTCAGTGTGTTGATCAGTACCATTGAGAAGAAAAAGTAATTTCTATTTGCAAATAAAATGTATTAATCAATACTTTTCGTTTACAAGATAAATGGGCACAACAAAACTGCTTAAGTATTCAAATTCCGCACTTCTCCACCCTTTGTCGGTAGTTCTCTCCCTTTCTGACAGCCCATAACACAGTTAAGACTTCGAATTTTTAAGTTTATATGATAAACTAATATTGCTAAAAAAGAGTCTTTATCATCCATGATGTGTATGTATTGACCGTCTTCTAGCCCACACAATCTCACTTGTCAATTCACATAATGTTTTGGCATCACTGTGCCATCCTCAGGTGTGTTATTTACGTTAAACTATTGCACTGCTCGCCATCATGTTTCGTTTATAAAATGATTTAAAATGTATATTCGTCATGTACTATAATAAAATTTATATATTAAAATTTGTTAAGATTTATCATTTTATATGTCGTATTTCAAATTCGCGTATTATATCATTCTTCCACTATGGGAGTCGTTCTTCCTATATTTTGTGTCTACTGTGTCTTGTGATGTGTCCTTTAGTGGCTGCGTGCGTTGTAATGCACCTACACAAACAATATACAGTATGAAGCTCTGGTAGGATGTATCCAATGTTCCATTTATTTCAAAATCAACTGACTTCAATTTGTTTAAATTTAGATGCCAAAACTCTTATAAACTTCTCTACCAACCAACACTGTTTACGTTATGGTGGAAACTGTGTTGTAGAATCTTGACTATTTAATTTATTTTCCAAATATTTACCTTTGCACCACCTGCCTGTGCATATCTTCCCAATTTTCTTTGTCATTTCCACTTCCCAGGGCTGGATTAATATCACGGAGACGTACACCAGCCACATTTACTCCAGACCACACAGCAACTATCACAACCATAATACATTTAAAGGAATTTCTTCCTTGAACAAACATTTTATTTAAAGTACATATTCTGTAGTATATATTGTTTAAGTATATATTCTAGCACTCTAAGCAAGCTAGAATGAAAACAAGTTCTTGTTGTCAATTTAAAAATTCTGAAGCATCAAAACAATCTACCAGTAAGTTTATATTTAACAATATAACTATTTGACAAATTTAATTATATTTCTCAGTCATCCCAACTGTAGATGAGTTGATACAGGATACAAAGAAGTACTACAAAAAAAATGTGCTTCAGGTCACTTAAGGATTACTACAAACGGTGAAAAACAGGAAAAACAGAAATGGTCAGTCTGTTTTGTGGTACTATCCTGGCCATGTTTTGGAGGCACCAGAAACATCACAAAGGAATCATATGGACAGGTAAGTCAGGTCACAGTAAAAACAGTGGAGACAAAAATTCAGATCACCAATACTGTTTATGCTGACATAACTGCTATGCTTTAATTTTACATAAATCTAAAATAAAGCTATACATAGTGAATTTTCAAGCATGCTGTAATACTTTTTTTTTCCTTGGCACTACAGCCCCAGTGGGCCTAGGCCTACCTCCATGAACTCCGTTCATCTCGGTTTTTCTCAATCTTACACATATGGTAGGACTCCTTGGGCGAGTGATCAGCTCGTCGCAAGGCCTCTACCTGTAGACAAACACAGAAAAAACGCACACAAACATCCATGCCCTGAGTGGGATTCGAACCCACGATCCTGGCTTCCGAGCGAGCAAAGACAGTGCGTGCCTTAGATCGCTCGGCCACCATGACCGGCGCTGTAATACTTTACTTGGTTATTTATGTGAGCAATATACAGAAAGAAAATGTTCATTTCCATTGCAATAGACATGGCAGTATGATTTTGATGTTATCACATCCTGACTTACAATTTGATATATGTGTACTGAATAGAATTCAAACTATCATATAACTAGGACTTGCTACGAATCCAGTTCAAAACAAATTTAGCTTGGTTTGCAGCTCATTAACTTTAAAGGCTGACCAGGTTATCCCAACAAACAAAATTTTAACTGAATTTCATTTACAAAAATGCACCAATTATATACACACTAATGGATGGACAGAACAAAGCTACAAGCCACAATCAATCTAATTTTGAAACATGACTTAAAAATAATCTATAACAGGTCTTCCAGTGATTGTCATACTAACCACTTGAATCTCCATGCTCTCCAATAATCCAACCATGACAATTCGTGGGAGACAGGTTAAGACGTTGAGACATTAAGAACCGAAGTCTTGATGAGTCCAAGTTGGTGCCTGAACCAATGACACGGTTCTTTTGTAACCCACTGAGTTTCCATGCAACATATGTTAGGATATCCACTGTAACACAGCCACACAATGAATTATCATTCACACAAACTGTCCCAAACTTGACACATTCTAAGCAGGCTTGCCTCATGGTAACTTGAAGCCCAAAACCATGAACTATGGCTAGTAAAGTAAGTAAGTAAAGCTATCCTTGTAACAGGCTGTGAAGGCCCATAGGTTGTGAGACGTCGAGGCTCCCACATTTTCTAGACAATTGCTCAAAGATGGCGGTAAGGTTGTCAGCCTTATGCACTGGCCGCGCTTAACTCCCCAGGAAAATTATTTAATTAACTTGGTACTCATTTCTGTTAAGGGCTGAGTCGACCCCAAGGCCATAGTGTGGCTGGAAGGATTAGGTCATCTGAAGAAAAAAAACCAATGACCTCATCAGGACTTGAACCCGCAACCTTCCAGCTTGTAGCATAGTGCCTCAACCAACTATGCTACCGCATAGTTATGGATAGTGTATCTGAAAATTCAGGCTGAACTTCAAAGTAAACTAAATGGCCCAAGAACCTATAGGAGTCTATCACCTTCACACCTGAAGTGGTTAAAAATGCTACCCAAACAAACCATCTCAAAAGTAAACAGACTAAAATTCAGTTGAAATGTATTGCGCATAAAGGAAATGAAGGTAAAAGGACTTTGTACAACAGATAACCACTTCTCTGCCAGTGAATTCAGTGATCTGATGTGACATTTTCTGCTAGGTTCTACAAACCAATCTTGTCTGTGTTCACAAACAGTTTTCTTTTGTGCACAATTCATAAATATGCCACACAGGCGGTACAACTACGTATTCTGTTACTGAACTTGTTGTTGTTTCAAGCCAATATATTTGAAACAAATAAATCTACAACACTATTCACTGTTATACTTTGATAATACAAAAGCGTGTCCTTAAAATAATATTATTTATTTCTCTGTATGTATCAATAAATGCAAACAGTATTATTCCTTCTGAATAGCTAATTTCAGAAACATTTTGAAGTCCAACACCCAACAACGCTACAGTAGGCTATACTTATGTAGATCATCACAATTATGGATTAATTCACTATTCACTCAATTGCTCTCTGGAAACATAACCTGAAAGTATGTCACTGCTAATACCACAAAGGCAAATTTAATTGAGGTCACATACTTAAAGACTTAATTCTCTAAAATCCATTTCAGTATTATCCTAAAAAACTCCACTTGTGCACATCATCATAACCTATTTGACAGTTACACCTAGTGTGAAGAAGATCTAGGGAGCAACAACTCCATCTGTTGGCCCTTGACAGCATCAAACATCAATAACTGTAAAATTTATGCCATCTGTATTCCAATCAAGCACAGCATATGTATTCAAAATTCAAAATTTATGTATACAGACCTGGATTGCTGACAATAAGCAGAATGGTATTAGGGCTGTATTTGACAAGTTGTGGGATAATGCCCTTAAAAATGTCTGTGTTCCTTTGAACCAGATCCAGTCGAGATTCTCCTTCCTTCTGACGTGCACCAGCTGTCACAATGCACAGCCTAGAATTGGCTGTTGCTGCATAATCTGATATGCAAACAGAATGTGTGTTAGGAAAATTGACTGTTGAAAGGTGACAACAGAGAGGTCAACAGTAAGACCAACAGCCTCTTCTACAAACAATTATACTTGACTAATGCTTATAATATGTTACAAAATTAAGGTTTCCAGTTTTATAAAATTAAGGTTTTTTTTTATCATATTAAACCGTAATGATGTATTTATTTTGCTACAAGAGTTTTTAATGAATGAATACCAGAACTCAATGGGAAATTCACAAAACTATGTTTACAACATAGATCACATGAATTATTTTTGAATAAAAAGTACTGCTGCAATTTGCAATTGATCCAGCAGGTTGTACACAAGCAAGTATAGTGCGGAACTAAGTATAGTGGAACTCTAAATTTCATGCAAGATTTTCCCACAGGACAAAATCCCACCTGACTGAAGCACAGGTATCCTGAAAGTACCGTGCTATTCGAGATTCTATCACTAATACATTATTTCACTACAAGTATGGAATTTTCACAATATATGTTGCAGCATTACACTATTAAGAGTACCAAAGAGAACTGCACATGAGTGAAACTGGCAAAGAAAATGATTTACCTACTTTTCAGACAGTTAAACTATGATCTATTATCAGGCGTTACTAGTATATTATGAAAACCACAGTGCAGCAAGTACAGAAACAAGGAACAAATTCTGTTTTGACAAAATGTGCCTCTGAAAAGCAACAACCCTGTTTCCCCTATTATGCATCTCCCTGGTGGTTATTTCCAAACATCAAGTTTTCAACTCTTTAGCCTGAAACCTTGAGGAAATATACCAAACAAACAAACAAAAACACTCCATGGCCTGTAGTTCGCAAGTGAACTATATTGACTTAGCGACCGTCACTTGTCGGCAACTTTAGTGGATACAGGGTGTCACGTGGTTACTGTAATGAATCTCCACGGCAGTTAATTTCAGTTTTCTAGACCGGAGAGGAAATATACCAGATAAGTTATGAGGCAAGGGACATACAGAGAACGTATTTCAAACAAAGTGGTAACACCTTTATCATAAAAGATGGCACAGTTCCTCTCATAAGTATTTCTTTGCATTATGGATACAGCCACTCAAATAACATTTCACTGTAAAGCCAAATTTTTGTTATGAACCAATATATTTATTTACTTTAAAGTAATTTGAAACGTGCAGCCTTATTTTTTCAATAAATCTGTTTGTTTTATCTGTCTGCTATATAGAATTTGGAATTTACTTTTCTTTTTGAGCATCAGAAATGCCACACGATGTCTTCATCAGTCACCAATTATCAAATTACAACTTCAATATTTCTGTTGTGGTCTTCTGGATTATGACACTGTGTATTCTGGTAGGTGCAAACTTTAGCGGCTAAAGTTGGCACTTACTTCACTGACAAGCAGCTGTCACTTGGTCGGTATAGTTTGCTTGTGCACTAAAACCACAGAGTTTTTTTTTTTATTTTGGTAGGTGATTACCAGTGATTTGAAAGAATACTGAACTATACACAGCGCCATAACCCATTCAATATTCAATATAATATTATTATTATTATCATTTATTATAATTTGGCATACTATTTCTGTATTATTATATTCTTATTACTATTTAGTATTAGTATTAATATTAATCTTTGACTTGTCCCATATCATGTATAATGATTCATGGATGAAATAAAATTGAATTGAATAATACTCAAATTTGTACCAGTTACAACAGAACTCCAATTTACTTCAGTACACCACCTGAATATTTTTCCTCATATGAACATAATATCCCAGACATCAGTTTCCAATGGCAAAAGTCATTCCCATGTTTTTCATGAAGAGAATTCTTCTCTTTAGTTAAAAATACAGCCCCCTTCCTCTTCAACAAGTGCTGGGGTACTTTCTCTGGGATTAAGAATGCCTAAATATGAATATGACAATTTACTTCCATATGGTAACAAAGTTACGAATTACTGGGAGCTGTACCTCAACTCCTACATCATCTTCATGGTGTGCCGATCAACGAAGTATACTGACAAATTTACTATAGATATAATTCAGCTTACCAGTACTTGCATTTACTTTTGCATGCTTCATGAAAGTCAGTCCATGCTGCAGATCCATCATTTCACCCTTCAACTTGTCAGCAACAACATCAACGAGAACTAGTTCGCTTGCAATATTCTGAAAAAAAATTCAATCCCTTTTTCTTCCAAATATATGAAAATTAAAATACACCATACAATTTATTTAAAAATTTGGCAGAAATCAACATGTGGTAAGAAAGAGTTATGTCCTTCCACTTTTAGACTAACATTTACATTGCATACTCACTTCAAGGATTAAAAAGGAGTATACATACTGTGACATTGTATGCAACCTTAAAACTGGGTTACTTTTGATGCTTACTCATACAGAAGTTAAGATATGCTCCACAACATTTATTCTTATACTGGAACTACAGTTACAAAAACATAAACATTTCTCTGACAATTTCATATTACTATGCAAATTTCTTTCTTCTTTTAATTAATTTCCACAGATTTCAACCAAGCTGGTGGCACATCTGTCATTCCAATAGCCCTCTGCCCATCCCCCTAAATGATAATTCATGATAAAGAGTTCTAGTAAGTACTGAAGAAGTTCTTTCAGTACTACATTCTTACCTGTGTAAGGATACTAAATGCACAGGCCATCCCTACTTGACCAACTCCTACAACAGTCACTTTATTTCCAGAAGATGTAACTGGATCCGCCACTTGGGAAAAAAGTGTTTCATCTGTTGAACCCATGTTGTCTCACCTATTTGAATGAAAAATAATCTTTACATTCCGGGTACCTGAACAAATAAAGTTATACGATATCTGCAAGAATTGTAAGTCTATGTCCTGACAACACTACATGTCACACTACCGGGAATATTAAAATAAACCATAAAAATCAAAATAGTAAATGAAACCATATTCCATTTTATACTGGTTTAAACGACAATAATTGACAGAACGGTACTACACTCTCACCTTCTATCGCGAATTCAAGTATTAAGTAGATAACTGTTTCCACACTGCAAACAAGAACCTCACACATCCAACGGCAGCGCCTATCTGACGTCTGCTAAGCCGACAAATAGGAGGATAAGGCACTCTCAAGGTGACCTTTGAAATACTTGGTCAATTTAAATCATACTGTATGTTCTTAGGAAATGGTACATAAAAGAAACTGACGTCCAACGGAAATATAAGCATATGCACATTAATTAATAATCGTTAGTACAGTGAACATGAAATGCTTTAATACACACATGCTACATAGATTATGGAACTTAAGTTGACTAAATTTCCGGTCCGCATGCGTGTGACGTGTTAGCGCGGGGCAGTCTGTTCCCAGAAAGCGGCATACCTACTTCTTGCATTGACCCCACATTTCTTGCATCATGCATTCGAATGGTGAAACGTGATAGGAACCACATGGGGATCACTAAGACTAGCGTCTAGTGACACAATAAGGAAAGAGAGTGTTTCCCGGAATATCTGTGGAGCGGTTTCAACCAAAAGCACGCCACCTGTTTCTTGCATATTTCACACTTTGCTTACCCACAAGACGCATACAGTACGTTCCTCCGAAATGTTGGTGGATAAACATCGGGCTACACTGCGTTATATTTTGGAAGACTGCTCTTCATAATCACGGCTGTGAGAACCTCAAATCCAAAGATACAGTTATCGTTTTAGGCACATATTACTGATCCGGAGGCAAGCGGTAGCTTGGTTGAGGCACTATGCTACAAGCTGGAAGGGAGCGGGTTCGAGTCCCGAAGTCATCGGATTTTTTCAATTGACCTAATCCTTCCAAACGCACTATGGCCGTGGGGTCGACTCAGTCTTTAACAGAAATGAGTACCAGGAATCTGGGAGCCTCGATGTCTCAAAATGCTATGGGCCTTCACGGCCTGTTACAGGGATAGCTTTACCTTTACTACTGATCCAGGCGTTGAAGAACCAAGAGCCAAACTGAATTTTGGGCCCTTAAGCTTTGGTTATAAATATCGACTGGGAGGATGAAGTAAATTGAAAGCGTATTTTAAGATATCCCACCAGTTACCTGGAGGGATTGAGAAAGTCCACAGCGAAGACTTTGGATAGCTAGCCTCCTGTCTGAGAAACTGCCGAACACGAAACTTGCTTACGCTCACTGCCGCGACAACCGCTACAATCGGAAGGCGCACTTCCACGGCAACGAATACGTGGAAATTGTGGAGTTTCCACAGTGAAAAAATCGTAGCAACGAATTGTCGCTGAGTAACAGAGAAGGAAACGAAACGCGGTATAGCATTTCCGTGACAACAGAGGGTTCCTTACGTAACAACGAACTGTTAGAAGCATTGAATATGGTGTTCTCTAAGCAGTTCGAAAAACCCCTATACAAGTATAATGAAGTCCAGCCTTCGCCGTGATATACTACATAGTTGAAGGCAGTGAGATCCAGCTACGGCCAGAGACAGTTGGAAGATAGTCGCCGCAGAATACAGTTGACGTAATACTAATTGTACCTTAGCGTGTAAGAGTGAGTGTTCAATAAATATCCACTAAATCCGAGACCCACGTGAAGTTATTAGTCGCGCTGTATAGGCAACATGCGACACTATGTACTTCAATATCACATTTCAATAGTCTTTTTAAGAGTTTGAAGAGAAAATTAGGACTCTCTGAGAGTCACAGATCCTTGCGTAAATTGAACTCTGATTAGAACTAAAGAAGTTTCATCCTTGTGCTTAAAAATCACTCCATAAAAATGTATTGAGTGAAGAGCTGGAGATGAGTCGTTAGCTGTTAGCTACAGGCTTCTGGAGAATAATCCCTTGTTCCCAGCATTTGGGATGCGGTGGTGCAGAGAGAAACTCATAATCGTCCGCTTAATTGCGGAGCGCTTTATAGGGAAGCTGTTTACATTGCCTTCAGACGTAACTGTCAATCCCAGTGACACGTGCAGGAAAGAATCCAAGAACTTTTAGTGTACTAATATTCCTTAAACGGTCACGGTAGCCGAGCGGTCTAAGACATGTACTGTCTTCGCTCGCTTGGAACCCGGGATCGTGGGTTCGAATCCCACTCAGGGCATGGATGTATAGTTTGTGTGTGTACGTTTTTCTGTGTTTGTGTAGAGGTAGAGGCTTTGCGACGAGCTGATCACCCGCCCAAGGAGTCCTACCGAATATGTAAGATCTAGAAAAACCGAAGTGAACGGAGAAGTTGATGGAGGTAGGCCTAGGCCCACTGGGGCTGTAGTGCCAAGGAAAAAAATAATTCCTTACAATGTGTGTTAGTCATGCACCAGGGTTCTTCTACAGACCTGAAACATCTGGGTAGTTCCGAAATGCCACCTGTCCTTACACCCTTTACTTGATCTCCATAACAATGTTTGAAGAGAACAAATTATGAATACATAATTTATACATATTGTAAAAAAGGCAAATCTGTCTGTATAGTTGAGCAATTAAGCACCATGCCATGACGACGTATGGGAGAGTGGAGGTGTATTTCCACCATTCTTGACCTCGGCACTAGATGGTAGTGCTCAGCTCTACTCCCGGGGGAAACTGCCCACAGTGCCCATTGGATAGGAGTGTGGGTGGGCCCCAGAGATGGTATGGACGTTGTGGAGAAGAGAAACATTGTAATCGTCCCGGGAATCGAACTCCAACCGTCCAGCTCTTATATCATCGTTATAGCGACTGAGTTATCCCGCCTCATATTGTACGTAATATAATAGGACAGGAACATATAGAAGCTATTTACCGTGTACATTAGGCCTGGGTTCTTCTTTGGGAATGAGGCATTTACATTGTGTATCACTCTCTTCTGCTGCAGCTGGCATATTGCTGACATACACGCGTATAATTAAATTACACTGAATGTCTCTCTTATATAATTCGTACCACAGCAAAACTAAGTTCGACGGGTTCTAGGGCCGGTAATGAATAACGGCTTTTCCTTAAGTCCCATTTGCTGATCTCGAATTCTTCTGTCTACGTCACTAGATTCTACCACGTGATGTAACTACAGTTCTCTCCTACATCCGTCATGAGAATTACGTTTAAGGATCATTACCAGTGACGTCACGTGCGCAGTACATTGCCATCTCTACGCACAAAGTGGCACACTCCTGTGGCGCACATAGCGGCCCCTTCTTGCGTCACACAGAAATGTTACACGATCAAACATCCCCGCGGTCTCTTTCAGTTCTTGATCCCAAAAAATGCGGATTATGTATTTACCCAGTTGTGCAACTCCCAGTTTCTCAATGTTCCTTGAAATTGCATAGCTACGTAGTATCAGCTGCAGACACGAGTGTGATGGGACGGAAAGGTGATTGTGCAAGATGAACTGAGTCCGTGACAAAGCGATTGTCGCTCCGTTGGTGATGAAATTCTCTCTTCCCAAGAAACCGAAGAGTCCAGTGCTGTGTTAACAAGAGACCGACACTGGATCCTACCCTCAGCCAGACGAATCCAGTCCACACCCTCATATTACGTTTATAAATTTTTCATTTGAACTTCATCATTATCATTATCATCCCTTAGCTGTCACTGGAGCATAAACAAACTCAGTGGTTTGAGTCCGCAAGCGAACTATACCGACCGAGCGACCGCCGCTTGTCGGCGAAGTTAGTGCCAACTTTAGCGGATAGAGGGTGTCGCTTGGGTAGGGCAACGAATCCCCACGGCCGTTAATTTCCGTTCTCTAGACCAGAGCCGCTATTTCCTTGAAATAGCTTCTGAATTATCCTCACGAGGCTGAGTGAACCCCGTTCCAGAGCCACTACTTCTCATAAAAAAATTGTTAGCGCCGGGAATCGAACCCGGCACCTCTGGATCTATAGCCAGGAACTCTGACCAGTAGACCACAGAGGCGGTCTCCATTTTACACCGTTCTTGCTGAGTTGTTTAATTTCTCCTCATGTCTTCCCAGCAGCCAAGGCTTCCTCTCGTATTGTTCTCTGCCAACTCCTGTTTGGCCTTCCTCTTTTCCTTTGTCCTTGTGGGTTCCACTCCATAGCCTCCTTCTCCATTGCATTGTCCTTTCGAAGAATATGGTCGACCCAGTTCCATTTACGTCTGGTTATTTTTTCAGTAATTTCTATTTCATTTGTCTCTTTCCACAGTTCATCGTTTGTTACTATAACCGGCCATGTCAAATTTACTGTTCTACGGAGGCATCGATTTACAGAACTTTGTAATTTTCTACATATGTCCTGAGTGACTCGCCATGTCTCACATCCATATAATAGAATCATTTTAACTTCACTTATCAATTTTATTTCAATAACGTATCGCAACGCGATCACAATCTTATTTCCGCAATAAAATTATCTGTATATTCCAACAACAGAAAGAAATACTAAGAATGCAGGCAGATACTGAGCCCTCCCCCATTACGCGTTAGTTCACGCACTTCGTAGAAACAATTCGAAGGAANTCCGAAATGCCACCTGTCCTTACACCCTTTACTTGATCTCCATAACAATGTTTGAAGAGAACAAATTATGAATACATAATTTATACATATTGTAAAAAAGGCAAATCTGTCTGTATAGTTGAGCAATTAAGCACCATGCCATGACGACGTATGGGAGAGTGGAGGTGTATTTCCACCATTCTTGACCTCGGCACTAGATGGTAGTGCTCAGCTCTACTCCCGGGGGAAACTGCCCACAGTGCCCATTGGATAGGAGTGTGGGTGGGCCCCAGAGATGGTATGGACGTTGTGGAGAAGAGAAACATTGTAATCGTCCCGGGAATCGAACTCCAACCGTCCAGCTCTTATATCATCGTTATAGCGACTGAGTTATCCCGCCTCATATTGTACGTAATATAATAGCACAGGAACATATAGAAGTTATTTACCGTGTACATTAGGCCTGGGCTCTTCTTTGGGAATGAGACATTTACATTGTGTATCACTCTCTTCTGCTGCAGCTGGCATATTGCTGACATACACGCGTATAATTAAATTACACTGAATGTCTCTCTTATATAATTCGTACCACAGCAAAACTAAGTTCGACGGGTTCTAGGGCCGGTAATGAATAACGGCTTTTCCTTAAGTCCCATTTGCTGATCTCGAATT